CAAAAATGGTAAAGTTACTGCGCTGCCGACTAGGGGAGCAAAACGAGATACGAATAAGAATAACCAACAATCAAAGGTTCCACTGAGGCAAAAACGATGCTCTCCCTCCCAGCCACCATAAACGGCCCCCGCTGGGAATTACAGCGAGAGAGTACCCTTGGAGAGGGTGTGGTCATTAAAGCCTTGTTCGCTGCGGATGATGGAGCATGCCAATGAGGCTGGGTTTGGCGCGCTGCCAGCATGTCTCCACCAGATATTGGATCGGGTAAATGACAGCGATTGGTTGAAAACGGCTGATACGAACAATATCATGCGCCCAAACGGCCACCACTGCTGACACGCCTTATCATCCGCAGCGAACAAGGCTTTAATGACTACACCCTCTCTAAGGGTACACCATCGCTGTGAATTCCCAGCGGGGGCCGTTTATGGTGGCTGGGAGGGAGAGCATCGCTTCTGGCCTCAGTGAAACCTTTGATTGTTGGTTATTCTCATTCGTATCTCGTTATACTCCCCTAGTCGGCGGCGCAGTAACTTTAGCATTTTTGAACGTTGATTTTATTTCACATCACGTGTTGTTTCGTCCTGCCTTCTTTGGAGCGAAAGAGACCCTTGCAGCTAGGAGAATGTTGTTTTCTAACAGTATTGGCCAGGAAGGAATCATAATTACTGTCTCAGTTTTTTTTAAATATTCCCTGTTTCAGGAACATATCTCCTTGAAGACATTGACAAATATCGATTCCTTGTGAACGGTAACATCACACTGCCAAATGTTGATGATGCACAAGAATTCCAAAGCACTCTTAAGTCGATGCGAATCATGGGATTCGCTGACGATGAGATCACTTGTAAGTTCCATGTATGAGCTTCTGGAAAGAATTGGTGGACTGTGGCTAAGGAATGTTTTTTAGCGGTTCTACGTGTTGTTTCGGCAACGGTTCTTATGGGTAATCTCGAGTTCACCCAAGAGAAGAAATCCGATCAAGCGATCCTTCCCGATGATAGAGGTTTGACTTTGATTTACCGCGCTTGATTTTTTTTCTCTTCTATTTTATATGAGGTTTGTGACTTCATTTTGATAACTTTTCCTTCAGTTATCCAAAAAGTTTGTCACTTGCTGGGCTTGCCGGTCATCGAACTGACCAAGGCTTTCTTGAGACCACGAATTAAGGTAGGGTATTGATTTTTAGAGCCTATTTTCTTTAAAGAATCTAGTACATCTAACGTTCGCTTTTAGGTTGGCCGTGAGTTTGTGAACAAAGCTCAGAATAAGGAACAAGCTGAATTCGCTGTAGAAGCGATCGCAAAGGCGTCTTATGAGCGAATGTTCAAGTGGCTGGTGAATCGTATCAACAAATCCCTGGACCGAACACGTCGTCAAGGAGCCTCATTCATTGGGATTCTCGATATTGCTGGGTATATTGCTTATTTTTTTCATTTACTATTTGTCGTTCTGCCCTAAGTAAACCTGTGGGATGTTGGAGAATAGGGATCGTCTGCGCTTTAGAGAACGCGACTTACATTGATTTCTAGGTGCACCCTCAAAAGAGCTTGAGTTTCGAGTATGAATCCTCGAAGTTCAGTTTCTCGGATCAATGCCAACAATAACTCAGTCTAGAAGAAGTGGCGAATGAATGTACAGCCTTGTTCGCTGCCGATGGTGGGGCGTGTTGAGCGGGCTGGTTTTGGCAGGACGCCAACAGGTCTCCACCAGTTATAGCCGCTTTCCACTTTTCACCAATTGGAGGAAAACGGACTGGCGCCGCTCCCGGAACACAGTATCCGCAGCGAATAGACTTTTCATTTTACAGCATCCCCTGCTTAGGTCATCCTGCCTCCACAGGTGCTCCTCGACCTTTGGACTTTCCCGAGGACTAGCGCCTACGTGAATGAGAAACTTGAGGGTTTCTCCATGGCTCTATGTCTATAAGTGATCTCTGCGGCCTTTCGAAAGCCTTATGTAAAATATTTTGATACTGAGTTACTGGGAGATCCTTTTCAAGTTAGGAACTTCAGTTGAGGCTTAAGGGTGCTAACAAGTGAGGGTATCCCATACCTTGAATATTTATAATCGCCGCCCCATGATGAACTGGTCTACCGGGAGACTTACATGCCACCTCATTTTTCCACTCTCGGTGAAAGGTATCAGTTTGGCTAACCAGTACCCCAGTCCCTTGTTTTCACCGTGGAAATACATTGTCCCGTTTTGAGCGCTCGTGAAGTAATTGTTCAGAGAGTAATCCTCAGTTATCTTGAGTGGACCAAGAAATATGTGTGAAAGCGCTAAATTTCAGCTTCGAAATTTTCGAATTGAACTCATTCGAGCAGCTCTGCATCAATTTCACAAATGAGAAACTTCAACAGCTCTTCAACAACACCATGTTCATTATGGAACAAGAGGAATATCAAAGAGAAGGTACGCGCTTTTCATTGGAATTCTTGTTGTTTATATTTTTTTTATTTCCTGTTTGTTTTCGGTTGAGGAAATCGCAGTATTTGTTTTATAATTTTTCCATGGTTCAGTAATGGGACTTTTGTCTGGTATGAGTCGGTCTTTCCCCTTCGTAGTCTTTGGCTTGTCATATCTATTTATCTCTGTTGACGGAATGATACTTGTAAATTTATCTCCCAATTTCCCCTTCAGGCAACTGCTCCCAGACCGCGCCGCATCTCGTTAGATGGCCGCTTATTCAGCGCGCGATAAGCGTAGTAAGTACTATTCCAACTAGAATCACTGGAGGTAACGACTGTTGGGGGCTGGGGGCGGGGGTCTGGTAGAAGATACTCTTGCTGTTCAGGATTATAGTCAAGAAGTTTCACGAAAAACTAGAGAGCACTAAAATAGCATCTTAGAAATACCATTTGCATTTGGTCATATCGTTGCGCAGCACTCTCTTCAAGCCCAAGTTACTGTTAGCTGATTGACCAGTATTCATTAGTATGAATACTAGACATTTGGCGTATTAAATATGCTCCGCTCCAACTAGTAGAGCATTTACCACCCGAAGTTATCTAATACTCTTCTTTATTGATTCTTCTTATTCGAAGTATTGATAAAACGGTCTGCTTATAGACTGAAAATAGCTAAAGGAGATAGAGTATAGTTAATTATGTTTGGAGCGTCTACTTTCAATATTGTTAGGCTTTGGAAGCTTACTTGATAATTACCCAGTCTGAAGAGCCTAGTTTGGATGAGTCAGCGCTGAAGAAACTGGCGCGTCCTATTTCGAAATAGTCCAGAGGAAATTAATCTAAGAAGCGAGAGGAAGGGCTGTGGAGTAGTTCATTTTGTGAGTCATCACTGATGAATAAATATTGCTGTGTCAATATATATTTGTGTGGGGGAGTGACCCTTGAAATCGTACTTATAAAATGGTATTTCGGTTTTTTTAGTTGGCCCGAAAATTTTGGTGGTTGGAATAGGGGGGTATGCTACGCAGACAAGCATGCGATCAGAACTCAATTTCTCCAAATTNAAACCTTTCCTGTTCCAACTCAGAACTACTTGTGTGCACCACTCACCGAATTGGTGATCCTTTCGTTCCTCCAGGTTTAGTGGAGAAAGAGCGCAGACGACCAGAGTGGCCACGGTCTAGTCTCAAAGCGTAGCACCTCCCATTTACTACGAGGCCAGTTTCGCGTGAAGTGCTAGGCGACTAGTCGTGGTCCCTGCAAAGGATAGGGCGTGTGAAGGGGCGGAGCTGGATCGCACCCAGAAAAGCCTTCCCGCCAATTGTTGCAGAGCTCTCCAATCCACACCCCGTCTCATACCTTATCGTTTACAGGGATCACAACTAAGTCATGACATTACGCGTCAACTAGCAGAATAGTTCAGTTGGCTTGTCACAGTGCGCTATTACCACCTTGAATGAATTGGGTCCCAGCGCGAATGCCGCATCGGGGGCACTTTTCGCCACAGCTCTTCCGACACACCTTCGGGACATGTTTCGGGTAAACTGCAGAGTTTGCACTACTGTAGATTTAAGAACGTATCAAAGTGCTAACCACTTCAATAATTCAGGAATCGAATGGCAGTTTATCGATTTCGGCCTCGATCTTCAACCAACAATCGATCTGATTGAGAAACCCATGGGTCTGCTGGCGTTACTCGATGAGCAGTGCCTATTTCCGAAAGCAACCGACAAAACGCTTGTGGAAAAACTCCAGAAAACTCATAGCAAGCATCCGAAATTCATCGTGCCGGATATGCGTGCGAAGAGTGATTTTGCTGTGGTACATTACGCTGGTTAGTGATTTTTTTTCCTCTGCACTTTTGGCAAATACGCGGAGAAACGTGGCGGATCGATTAGAAGGAAGCGCGTGGATGCGATCATGCCTTTTTTGAACTTGGCGCCATCTGCGCTGATAGCGACTCTATCAAACGTTGCAAATCTCGATGTTTTAGGTCGAGTAGACTATTCTGCTGATCAGTGGTTGATGAAAAATATGGACCCTCTCAATGAGAATGTAGTCGCTCTAATGCAGGCTTCGACAGATCCATTCGTGTGCGGCATTTGGAAGGACGGTATGTGATCACCTTTTTTTTCAGGTAGTACCATTCCCCTAGTATCTCGGAGATTTTGTTTTCAGCTGAGTTTGCTGGCATTTGTGCAGCAGAAATGAATGAAACGGCGTTTGGTACTCGTGCTAAGAAAGGCATGTTCCGTACGGTGTCGCAGCTTCACAAAGAACAACTGACACGTCTGATGACTACGCTAAGGAACACCAGCCCTCACTTTGTGAGGTGTATCATTCCAAATCATGAGAAGAAGGTGCGTAGCTGAGATAGCTTTTGTGATATACAAAGGTAGCAGGAGCGCAAATTTTGGTGGAAAGTAGTTGAGGGACGCCCCGCGGCGAGGCAACTCTACCACGTCATGTCTGCTTGTCTGTACTCGCTCACCGGATAGGGAACTGTTGTGTTTACCCATACCATAGCTTCAAGAAGGCATATCTAGACGTGACAAGATCCACATGACAATGCATGCCGTGAAATACAGTCCGCATCTGAGGCATTTATTAGCTAGTTGACTGGACAGGCATAGCGCAGAGAGAGAGCTAGTCAAGAGTCGCAGACATGGATAGAGTCGCGAGAAACGACGCGCTGCAACGTTAAGTGGAGTGGGTCCTGGTGCGAATACTGCGTACTCGTGCTTGCAGCCTCTACTTCATCGTGTACGCTGGCACTGGGAGGTAACGCTATAAGAGAGAGGCAGAGACCTATGTGTAGGGGAGGAGTGTCGGTATGGGAATACGCAGCCGTCGCTGTAACGCCCCTTCTCGCCCTACGATATGGACAACAGTAGCGCCACTGCGTCGCAGCCACCAACAACTTTTGCCTTTGATTTCGCCAAAGCCTGCCTATGCGAATTTCTTCTTTTTTTAGGCTGGCAAGATCAATTCTATGCTTGTGCTTGAACAACTGCGATGTAATGGTGTACTGGAAGGTATCCGTATCTGCAGACAAGGTTTCCCCAATAGAGTGCCATTCCAAGAGTTCCGTCATCGATACGAGATTCTTACACCAAATGTGATACCTCGTGGCTTTATGGATGGAAAAGAAGCTGTGAAGTGAGTGGCATCTTACCTCATTTTCACAATGATCCTCCCTCAATTTCATGTTTTCAGGAAGATGATAGAATACCTAGAAGTAGATGCAAACCTTTATCGAATCGGTCAGTCGAAGGTGTTCTTCCGAACTGGCGTACTTGCTCATCTTGAAGAAGAGAGGTGATTTTTCCTCATTAGTTTTGCGTTGTTCCTCTTTTCACTATTCTGTATCCGTCCGTGTTCAGAGATTTGAAGTTGACGGATCTCATAATTCAATTCCAAGCTCAGTGCCGTGCGTTCCTTGCCAGACGCCTTTACGTGAAGAGGGTTCGTTAAACTGCAACATCGAAGTAGTTGGTTTTCATAGAAGAGTAAGTTTCTTTGATCTTCCAGATGCAACAGTCCAGTGCTATCCGTGTCCTGCAACGTAATGGACTGGCTTGGATGAAGTTGAGAAACTGGCAATGGTGGCGTTTGTTCACTAAGGTATGATTCTACTCTTGTACAACTTAAACGATCTTCAGCATTCTCACTCTTTCAGGTGAAACCGCTCTTACAAGTAACAAATCAAGAAGCGGCCATTTCTGCCAAGGAAGACGAACTCCGTGCTATTCGTGAGAAGCTGGAGACCGTCGAAGCGGAATACCGTGACAGCATGTCAAAGATTGATCAGGTACGTTCAGTACAGTACCTCTTCAGTTCTTACAGGCCCGGAGAGGCAGTATTTTCCTCAACTGTAAATGTATCAGTTGTAACTCAGCGTAGGTAGTACTGTAATTACCGCCAGAACTATTTTTGTGCTAGCTTTCTGGTTCAGTTACCTTCAAGTGATTCGCAATTTTGTTAGGTGATGGCAGAAAGGAATGTCCTGCAAGACCAGTTACAACAGGAGACTGACAACAACGCAGAACTGGAAGAAGTTAAGAATCGGCTTCAGCTCAAGGTGCGGTCCTGCGGAACTACTTGACATTCTCTACAGGACCCAATGACCGATTTTATAAACTACTGCAAGTATTTGTAGAAGAATGAACTCGAAGAGATGGTCAATGAAATGCGTGACCGTCTTGTTGAGGAAGAACAACGAACGGAGAAGATGGGACAGGAGAAAAAGAAGCTTGTTGTAAGTTTAGTGATTATCATAAAAAAGCTACACGTTTATTGATTGTGAGTCCCTGGTATATCAATGTTCAGCAAAGGGTGCTTCAAAGAAATCCAAAAGATACAAAAGTCTTGAATGGTTCCAGAAATTATTTATCCTGCAATATTTCGATGCTGAATATTTTCGTCTAGCTTGGAATAGTGATCTGTTATTTCACCTAAGTTATATAGCAAAGACATTGATCTGGTCCTGCAGATTACCACCCAACTAGTAGACTTGTCCTCCGGTCTCCAGCGTTCAGACTTCGCGATGACGAGCTGCGACTACCACTTATCGTTCGGCGCCGTCCGCTAGGGCTTAGTGAGAGTGTGGAAGTATAGGAGGGTACCAGACTGTTAAGGCAACGCCTACCCTCCCGTTACCCTATACTCTCTTGAAACTCTAGCGATCAGCGCCGATGGGTACCCGTTCGTACCTGCGTTCCCGTCAATACCACTGAAACGCAATTGCAATGGTAGTCCGTAGCGCGTCGTCGGGTGTCGTCGAGAAGTCTGAACGCTGCCTCGCGAAATGACCAGCTCACTGAGATTCGAGGTCCTACTCTTTGATAGTATGTACTGATTGATTAGTTTTTATCCATTCCTAATAATTTTCTGAAATCGAACCATTACATTCAAGGAGACAGTTCGCGACCTCGAAGAACAACTTGAACAGGAAGAGCAGGCTCGCCAGAAGCTCCAACTTGACAAGGCCAACGTCGATCAGCGAGTCAAGAACGTCGAAACGAAACTGGTTGATATTACGGTAAGTGATTTATTTCGGTTGAGTCAGCTATATGAAATTTTCGCTGAATTATTGCTGATTCATTTGATTTTAGGATGCTCATGATAAACTGCTCAAAGAGAAACGTATGCTAGAGGATAAGATGAATCAGCTCAATGTGCAGCTTAGCGAGGAAGAAGAACGAGTAAAACAAGTAGCTAGGCAACGTGGAAAGGTAGAGAATTTTTTTTACTTCCTCTACTCTCCGTTTGCTGTAATGCTTTGTGTTATAGCCACAGCGTAATACTCAATTTTTTATACTATGATAACTGCTGACGCCGCAATTCCCGCTTCGAAAGTTGCCACAAGAATGCTACTCATACTCAAGTACTTTGTTATTGTTGTTAAGGTCGAAGGACATGTTCAAGAGCTTGAACAGGAACTGCTTCGAGAGCGTCAACTCAAGGCTGAAGTGGAACAACAGAAACGAAAACTGATCACTGAACTCGAGGACACCCGTGAATTGCTTGAAGAGAAACGTAACAAACTGGAGGAACTGAACGGGCAGCTGATCAAGAGGGAAGAGGAATTGTCTCAAGTATTGACTAGGTGAGTGCTTCTTCAGTACAGCGTACTGTTCAAATTACCTTAAGGATGGACTACGACTTCTAAGAGTGTCCATGCTACTTTAGGTCCGATGAAGAGGCTGCGAATATAGCGCTCCTTCAAAAACAGATCCGTGACATGCAGACAATAATAGACGAGCTTCGTGAAGACATTGAGACTGAACGAGCTGCTCGTAATAAGGCTGAGACGGCTCGCAGGTAGGTTCGGTCAGGGAAAGGTCAAGACATTCGCTATTTAGCGCTTCGTCGCGCGCGCGTTTTTTATTTGCAAAATCTTATCCTGCCGACTGGACCGGTGCGGTGAATTACGATTGTCTTGTCACATACCAGGTTCAGTAATTAATGTGAAGGAACAAAGATAAATGACCGCTTCTTTCAGAGAGGTAGTCGCTCAGCTTGAAAAAGTAAAAGGTGACATGCTAGACAAGGTTGATGAGACGAGCGTTCTTCAAGATATCATGCGAAGAAAGGAGGATGAAGTTCGAGATCTTAAGGTGTGGCTTAATACCGCCTGGTTACGGTTTATGTGATCGTATGGAAAACAGACGTTTGTGCTGCAAAGATTTGTGATTGGTTGGTTGCCTAATGCCACCAATCATAATTGTTGTCGTTCACTGCAAACACGACAACAACTGGATTCGTGAATATAAGCATCATTTTGCCTGCCTATATCTCTTAATGGTAATGGGTTCAGAAAGCTTTGGAATCTGCTACTCACGCCCTAGAGAACAAACTTGAAGAACAAAAGCAGAAGTACAATCGTCAAGTTGAAGAGCTTCATGAGAAAGTCGAGCAGCAGAAGAAGATGTGTTCTCAACAGGAGAAGTTCAGGCACCAGTTGGATAATGAGAGAGTGAGATTTCTTTGATTTTTCATTATACAAATAGTCCTTTCGTTGTGGACGCTGGGGCGTGTCAGAGAGGGGATGGGTTTGGCGCAGAGCCAGCTTGTTTCCCACCATTTGTTGTCGCTTTCCCGCTTCAGAAGTCGTTGGAAAACAAGCTGGGGTCGCGTCAAACTTCGCCTCCGCCTTATCTGACACCATAGCGTCAAAAGGAAAACGATTGTAACTTTTCTTGTTACTCTGGAAAATGGGCTACAGGAAGGAGAATAGATTGTTAGGGATAAAATCCATTATGCGCGAATAATTCAGGCTGAGCTGGCTCAAGAGTTGGCCACAGTCCAAGCTCAAAAGGCGGAAGCGGACAAGCGCCGAAAGCATCACGAGTCGCAAGTAATGGATCTTCAGTCCCAGCTCGCTGAATGTGATGAACACCGTATGCAAGCGCTTGAGCAGCTCGATAAGGTTGGTCTCAAGGGAATTTTTTAAACTGTGTTTTTTCTTACTTCAGAATTATGCTATTTCTATACCTTAAGGCTCGCGAGGAATTAGAACAGCTCTGTCGTACTCGTGAAGATGAAGAGCAGATGGTGTCGAACTTGAATAGGAAAATTGCGGCCCTGGAAGAGCAGTTACATGAAGTCTCTGATCAAGTCCAGGTGGGGGATTTCGATTATCTGTTTGATTTGTTACCGCTCATTCTTGGGAAAGGAAGTTCCTGTGACATTTTGTGGATTACACGGAGCCCTTAAATTCGCTAAAGCTTACGTGACCATTTCTTTTCTTCGTTGGTGATCCCCTGAGCCCTTAGAGGGCACAGATTCTCTCTAGTGGCGTCTGCTCAAGATTCGCGGTTGTCTTAGCGGTACAGCCGCTTCCATCAACAAGTTATACAGGTCAGTAACCGCCAGAGATTGTGCCATTTTCGCCACTGAGAAGGTCTTATGGTGCAGTCATCGTTGTGTCGCGCATTCGAAGTAGGATAACTCGTCCGGATCACTAAGCTAGTGGTTTTTTGCTTATTGACGACCTACCCTAAGCCGCTAGCGACTTCAGTGGTCCTCGCTCTAAACTAGGATGTCTCCTGTTGATCAGAAAAATACTGCAGTTTAGTGATTGGGACAAGTTGTTCTCCCTGGTGGACGTGAAACGGGATGGCTGGAGCGCCAAGGACCTGTGATGACTTAGGCTTCTTGCTTCTTGTGTTGTAAGATGGCCACTAATAGTGCCACCTAGGGAAAGTGGATCTCGTTAGTCTTCGTTCTATCTTGCCTTTGATCGTCTGGCCTCTCCCTCGAGCACTCAGTGTTTCTTCTTCGCATGCATTGCTCAAAATCAGCTGAAGTGAAGAGGACTCTACTGAGCGTGATAGTTTTTGGTTTCTTCACTGACGAGTCATTTAGCACCTATCAGTTATTATCTGACGTCCTGCTGTCGTGAGACAGACATTCGATTGCTATGAGGGGTGGCGCACGTCATTCAACTGTCTTGGAATGTAATGCACTGAACGACTTTCAGAGAATGCAGCTTTTCATCTGTGATTACAGGAGGAGACCAGAGCTAAACTTGCCCAAATCAATCGCGCTCGTCAACTTGAGGAAGAGAAAGCAGCGTTACTTGAGGAAAGAGATGAGCTTGATGCTGTTCGGCAGCACATGGAACGTGTAAGTTGCTTCGTTTTTCGTTTCCCATGATTTTAAAGTGATTCTGTTTATTCCAATGGGATGTTTCTCTAGGACATGATGACGCTACGCCAACAGCTCGTCGAAGCTCGAAAGAAAGCCGATGAGGGTGTAATACAACAAGTGGAAGAGCTCAGAAAGAAGGTTAGATATTACGCAGGGATGTGGATTCCTGAATGCTAGCAAACCTAGGTTTTATTTTGAGATGGGAAATGTTCCGAGAATTCTTTCTCTTTATCAATAAGAGGTCTAAACTTCATCGAAATTGCTGTTGCCCTTCAAGTTTTTGACTC